TACCCCTGGAATGAAAATGAATGAAGAATATCCCCAAGCTCATGAATGATTGGATATCCTCAAGCTCAAAAAGAACTGAATTAACATTGAGCACCAAAATGACCAAAATACCCTTATGGCCTAGAATAAGTAAATGTCTTTGATTAATTAAGAAATTCAAATAAATATGGATGTTGTAATGCTCTTAAAAGTTATGGAACACAAATTAAGCCGGTCAACCAACGCTAGTGCTATATCAGTACCTAAATGGCATAGATACCACTTGAATGCTTGTTCGTCTCCTTAAGTTTGGATTGATGATAATTCTGGAAGTATTCGGTACTAAGAAGTGGATATTCGTTAGGCAAATCAACCATGAATACCAAATTAACTCTAGAGCACATTCGGTACTAAGAAATGGATATTCGTTAGGCAAATCAACCATGAATACTAAATTAAACTGAATAGAAGTATAATATGTATCCAAAATTCAGAAACGTCTGAATTACTCTGGAAAACTCTGAAGTAACCGAGATAGACATGACTACTAAATGAACTAAGTAACCTCAATGACTGAGGATTAAATAATTGATTTTGGATGAGTATGGGATAGCTAATGAACTTAAATGATGTATTGTATTTATGGGTCATGAACCACGAAACAAGTACATCAACATTCCCTGATATCGTTGAAACATGGAAATGAAATAAAGACCATTGGAAGATCTATTCAGCGATGATTCTGAAGATGATCTATGGACAAGAATTTTTGGTATTAAAGAGTACATACCCTGGAAGGACAATGAATTGACCAGTCGACAGGCATCCATTTTGGGATTTGTTTGATAATCTTATCAATCGATATAGATTGTAAATGTTCTGAATCTTCATTTCTTTCTTATAGTTCAAATCAATTTCTGAATAACTGATGATTATGTCAGTTAATGAACTCTTCCGATAGTGATTCTAACTTATGGCATTCTATCGGTATACTGAAGATCTGTGTTTCTCTGCCCAATAAGATTATCCAGTATCTCTGAATAATATTTGATAAATACTTTGATCCTCTAGTGTGTTCCATATATACTACTTTATGATTTTATATGTTTGAAATGAGTTTTAATGAAAGTATTGATTTACTGGTTTATGAACCAAGGCAACATGGTATGTGATCTCTGATTACGGTTTTCATCAAAAAATATGAATTGTTCATGATTTATGAAATCATGGAATTTACTGGTTTATGAATTATGGTTACCTGAAATGTGTTATCGTGTTTCCTATTTTCACTGGAAAATATGAATTGTTCCTGATTTATGGAATAATGGAATTTACTAGGTGTGCAGATGGGTGTATGGTTCTACGGAACCTACATATTATGGAGTGTTCGGTTAGAGGGATTACTATGGTTTTTGATAAATGATTTATGTGAGGGTGTTGTTGGAGGAAGTTACCATTACGGTTACTGCAGGCTCCTCTGCTTTGTGCTCAGGGTAAGTCCTTACTTAGTGTGTAGGTGGGTGTATGGTTCTAGGGAACCTACACATTATGGAATGTTCGGTTGGAGGGATTAATAAGGTTTTTGAATAAAAATTTGTTTTAAACTGCTACTGTTTTAAAATAAAAGATATGTATCTTTTCACTGGTTTTACGGGAACACATTAGATAACCTACTCTAATATCCTGAACTCAGTCATCCGAAATATTTCTCTGAACTAAAATCATATGTCTGTTACTACATGAGATATCAGTGGGACCTTAACTTATCCTAAAAATCTGTAGATGTCTGAACCAATAAGGAAATATATGCTTATTTGTTATCTGCACGTTCTTCAGCATCATATGGTAGTTCTGTATTATTGAGTTTTCCAAAGCTCACTCTGTTAATCACTTTTTTTAGGTTAAAAGAATCGTTTCAGTGCATCTATCATCATCAGCAAGGGAGCTTTTTCTGGTGTTACTTGCAGAGTATGGTACATGTGATTAGGGGTATGTAATTATATTTTGTTTTATATGTATGAGTCTGAAAAATTGTTTTATCTCTACATACTGATAAATCATTTTATGAGTTACATGTTTTAATAAAAGTTTTAAATTTTCCGAGATTTTTACAGTGGATCGCTCCGGTGGCCATAATGTGACACTCCAGATCATATCGGGTTATCCGCATCGGTCGATGGGTGTTACATAGGGGGCGAATGATATCGGCTTTAATAAATGAATACCCTTTTCAACTTTGCATCCGTAATGATTTTCAAATTAAATAAAGTTCGAACTCAAAATTTCCGATTTGAAATATAGAGTAATCAACTAGGTACCAATTTCTGGATTTTCACAGACCTTAAAATTTGGTATTTTAATAAAAATAAAATGTTTTATTAAAATCACTCGATTTTTATGGTATCTCAATCGCACCTTAAAAGATTGATGGCGACTCCTCACATTTCGAAAATTATTTTCAAAGAGAAAATCCCTGAGTAAGTATCGATCTTTCTCCGTTCGTGCGAAAAACTGTATCCACAATTATTAAAGATTAAGGCGGCAAAGCTTGGTAATTAAAGAAAGATAGCAGCACCAACCAACTTCATCATGGTAGCAGAAAATTGGTGATTTCGAAACAACTCCAATCACAAATTGAAGGCGGCAAGACTATGTGGTGGAAGTAGTAAACAAATGTAATATTGCAGCATGAAACTCCATTACGCAAGCAATGTTCGTGGCAATTGATTGAGCAAATAAGGCAGTTAAATAATTCCCATAAATAGGCTTGAAATGTAAGAGTTAAACGCAATGTGTGAGTGTTGGAAAAAAATACGAGAGATAGCTTAGTAAAGTTAGTAATAGCGGGATTGTGTTTGCGAACTAGCCATAACTAGTATTTGTATCGTATTATATTCGTATCAATAATAATGTGAGTTAGAAAATTATCAAGTGTGCACCTATACTTCCAACATCCATATCAAATATTGAGCAATATCTTTAATTGAGTATTACCCAAAAAAGAGTTATTGAAAAAATTAGAGTTTTGATAAATACTTTGATTTGATTAAAATCAGGTGAAGAAAACAAGAAAAAGGTGTTATTAAGCTTTTATTCATCATTAAAATATAGATTGATTTGAAGAAATTTGACTGAAAATGAAGAGAATTTGACGAGGTTTGGGTAGAACAAGAAAATTATGAGATTTTTTTATTTAAGCATCCTTGATCGACTATATTTTACAACGAGTATCAATACTTGTATCTAAGTATCGAAACTTAACGAGAAATAATCTAAACATTTATGATTAAGGTACTATTTTAGGTTGCAACATAAATTGTTACATAGTCCATTTTTACGTACTTTTATAATTAACATAATAATTTAGGCTCCAATCTAAAATGTTACCAACTCAAAATATTTATATTTTGATAACATTTTCGGTTACAACCTAAATTGTCAAATGCGATTCAATATTTATTTTGCAAAAAGTATCAACAATTGTAACTGATTATTGATACTTACAATTTTAATACCTAAACTTTATTTTTTTCGAAATTATACCTAACGTTTAGTTTTTGTTTTATTTTAATACCTCGCCCTTAAAACCTTAACGGACGGGCTGAAGTGACATAGTTCTGGTTGATGGACGGCCAATCTAAACGGTGGACCACGAGAGAATGACAAGTTTACCAACATAGTACAATTTTAGGCTCATTGGACGGTGGACCATGGAGATCGAAGGATGAAGAAATCAATCAAAGAGTTCATCATTAATTTTGATGTGTTTTCCGGTGAAACGGAGATTGAAATCACGTTTAGGGAATCGAAAATGTGCGGATTAGAAAATTTGGGCCTTCATCGACTTACGGAAGCGACGATCGCGATTGTAGACACGACTGTCGGTGAACCCCTCCCTTAAGTTTTTAACAACAGTCTAAAATGAAACAAAAACATTAGGTATCATTTTTGAAATGAAAGTTTAAGTATTAAAATAGATATTAAACACATAATTTATTATTATTTGTTTTTTTATGAAGCTCTGAATATATCATAATCCATTAACTCTACTTCTGTTGACTTTAACGAATACCTGGGAAAAAGCTGAAAGGCAGTTTTTATAGTTTCTCAAACCTCGAGCGGACAAAACTGTTGGCTTTTGGCACACGAGTTTGAACTTTGAAAACAACATTAATTTTTCTTGTTAATTTGTGTAGACTTTCTGTCAATGTACAATATTTTTTTCACTTTTTAATCTCAAATCAATTGCTTTTTTAATATTTATATAGAGTTATAGTAGAATAGGGAATTTTTTAAGGAAAATGACTTGAATTTATTAAATAAAATAAAAAATATATAAAACATATATGTAAAACAAAACCTAATAAAATTAAAGAAAATATACGAAAGGATATGAAGATACATAAGGTAGTCGTGACAAAGAAATTAAATTTATGTTCTAGAATAGTACGAGGTATTATATATTTTAAAGATTTATAATTATTTGATAATAAAAACTCAAATATTCTTATAGTTTTTAATGTTTAAATTCAGAAACTTTAAAAATAATAATTATGCATTTACCATTAAAGTAGTTTGGTTCGTATTATAATATCACTATACTTAAAACATTTATAAAATTAGATATTCATTTTTAGTAAAAAAAACAAAAATAATAACAAGGTAGCATAAAAAATAATGATAAACTACATGTTTAATATCTAAACTATTATTTTTGTTCCATTTTAATATCTAAATTTTATTTTTTTTCAAAATCATACTTAACTTTTAATTTAAATTTCATTTTAATATTTCATCGTCATAACAAAACTATTGTACGTGACCTTCTTTATGAGTAGATTACATCATTCATCACTCAATTATATTCTCATTTATATTTTAACCACTAAAATTTAAATTTTTTAATTTAATCACTTATCTCACAAATTATTCATATTTTAATAACTCTAACGTAAAATAAAATAATTAACTGCCGCATCTCATCTTCTATCTATTAAATAATGATAAGGTTGAGGACACTCTGATGCTTAGGGTTTAGGTGCACCAGATTCTTCACTTTTGGTCTCATTATAAACAGAAATGCACTGTGCCTCCACCTAACATTTCCCCATTTTCACCATTGTTATCTTCTCTTCTCCGCCTATAAACTAAACCCAAACCAAATCACCACTGCAAAAGCTAAACAAGGAATAAACCCATTAGTTATAAATCTTGGGTCTTTTTGCTAAAAGTGTTGGAATTTGAAGTGGTTGGTTTTGAAGATCATGGATTTGGAATTCTTGCAATCTGTGGATGTTCAGATTCTTGTTGGTGCAGCAGTAGCTGTTTTAGCCATTGTTGTTGGCGCTGCTTATCTCTTTTCCTCTATGAAACCTAAAGGTTTTGACTTTTGACTCAATTGGCTTTATGCGGTTTTGTAGCCATTATAATTCTCTTGTTTTGTTCAATGATTGTTTTTTTTAATTGATTGTTCTTGGAGTCTTAAGTAATTGTTGCACTTAAATCTGGGTTTTTTGTGTATGTTTTGGTGTTTATGTATATATTGGTTAATGGTTCTTTTTAGGGTATGCAAGGTATTGAAATAGTGTAATAACTTGTTAAGAATGTAGTGAATAAAAGATGAAATTGGGATGTTAAGGTCTTCAGATTGTTTGAGTAACTTGTGGCCAGGGATTTAAATAGCGATCTGCTATCTGAATAACGGCAGCGGTGCCGTCCAAAACTGTTATTGCATGACCACGATACTGCAATGACCGCAATAACACTCGCTATGTCAACTCAACCGAAAACGCGACCTCGCGTAATTTAAATCCCTGCTTGTGGCATTTTTGAGAGTGCTTTCTTTTTATTATGATTTGTTTTGATTCTAAATGTTTTGGCATACTGATTGAATATATGGTATAGGATCGAGTTCTGTTTTTTGTGTAGTTTGAATTAAGTACTTTATCCTGCTGTTAGTTGCAAGTATTGCAAACCAAGTTACTTCCTTTTCTTAGTATGCAATTTCATTCGTAAGTACTGAAGCACAACTTGATTTTCATTGTTAATTGTAAAACTCAGGGAGTTGAGCAATTATAACTTGGTTGTGCTTATAAGGAACAGTGTAATCTGGAATCAAGTGAAAAATGTTAAAAGCAAATGGAGTCAATATAGGGCTATATTTTGATGTAGATTGTTCTGAATATCCGATCAAAGTTGTATATTTATGCATTTCCGGTCTATTGTGTTCATTTCAACTTATGATTGCTAGGTTAGGTTAAGTTGCAGGCTCAAGCAGTCAAGGTGTTAAATCTTCTTGAGTTCGGCTTGTTAACACTTTTTGAGCTCTAATGGATCCTCACTCCTCAGTTCCTTATACTAATTCCTATTGTCAATGGAGTTTTCTTTGCTAATGCAAAGCAATCACCTCTTTTACCTTATAAAAGTTGACTTATTCAGTATTAATCTACTTCTCAGTACACTTTTCGTTTCCCAAGTTTTGTTATTTTATTATTCACTTATGAAGCTGTTAACTTTTCATATGTGCATTTAGGCTGTCTAGATCCAGAGAATTTCAAAGATTTTAAGCTTGTCAAGCGGCAACAGCTGAGTCATAATGTGGCAAAGTTCACATTTGAACTTCCTACACCTACTTCAGTTTTGGGTCTTCCCATCGGGCAGCATATAAGTTGCAGGTTCAGTTGATTGTATTCATCCTTCTTGTATTTCTTCCTAGGCCAATGGTTATAGATACTTTCCAAATGCTTGTGAACTGTGTTACTGTATAAGTTAGATGCTTTTCATCTTAACAGAGGCAAGGATAGCCAAGGTGAAGAGGTTATTAAACCATATACACCTACAACATTGGATTCTGATGTTGGTCGTTTTGAATTAGTTATTAAGGTACTTACCTGAACTTCTTACCCGTTGGAATTATCTTCAGTGTGATTTATATACTTGGGTGTTTGGGTCTTCCCATCTACTAACTTTCTTATGGAACTTTGCTCGTGAGTAGATGTACCCTCAAGGAAGAATGTCACACCATTTCAGAGAGATGAGTGTTGGTGATTATCTTGCTGTGAAGGGTCCCAAGGTATACAGTTTCTTTCATATAAATGCATTAATTTCCCTTGTCTGTATGGTTCTTTGTTCCTTTTCCACCCTGTTTCTTTGGATAACATTGCTACTGGTGTTGGCAAAAATGATTATTTTTCCCCGAGTTCATTTCCTATACAATACAAACACATCATGTTTGCCTAGCTGGCTTTCTTGCCTCGTCTGAATTATGTTAAACTCAAGATTTCTCATTTGGTTACTGTTTTCTTAATGCTGTTCCGTGAAATGATTCCTCCAGGGGCGGTTCAGGTATCAACCTGGTCAAGTTAGAGCATTTGGGATGATTGCCGGAGGCTCTGGAATTACTCCAATGTTCCAAGTATGCCAATCATTGTTATGAAGTCTTCTTTTAATGTATTTGGTTGGATTTGAGACATGTTGCCTTTACATGTTTAGTTTATAGCCTGTTGCAAAGTTTTAAATGTATGTATAACATTTCACCATAATTTGTTTTCTGGTTTTGGTTTTTGATCAGGTAGCCAGAGCCATATTGGAGAACCCGAAAGACGCAACAAATGTACACCTTATTTATGCAAATGTTACATATGAGGACATTCTTTTGAAGGTATTTTACTGTCTTCTTTTTTGTTTTTAATCTTTCTAGTACTCGCCTAAATGGTTGGTCCAAAGTAACAAACCTAGGACAGGTTTCTTCTAAGCTTGCCTCTGTGGGAAATGGCGAGGCATGTTGGGCCTTGAATGCAATTGTATACTAGACCAGACCCTTATTATTTATTTGGGTGCGGCTAGGTCCGGATGTAAGACAGGCCCGAATCCTTGCTTTTAGAATAGTCTCATGGAACTTTGAATAACTCTATATTACTTTATTAACAAATGTCATTATGGACTTCATTCCATGTTATCATCACATTTCCTTAAATAGCTGAAATAGTTTTTGAACGTTGCACATTTAATGTGTGATGATATTACGGCTACCATGGATGTAGTCAACCAGGATGACATACAGGCATGAGTTGTTAGTGACTAGTTCATAGGAATTAGGAAATGGATCAAAAAGTGAAATTCAAAAATGATTTATTTGCAGGAAGAGTTGGATAGCCTTGTCGCCAATTACCCCGGTCGCTTCAATGTCTACTATGTTTTGAACCAGGTTTGTTGCCTTTCTCACGTGGCTATCTCTAATATAATATGTTCCTTTTTCATGCATATTATCAATGCTTGTAAAGGATAATTAAATGCTTAGTAAAGCCTCTTTGAGGAATTGTTTGAGAAGCAAATGAGTTTTGAAATTTATATCCATGGTACTCCTTTGTCACTCCATTTAGCTGCACAGATACTACTTCCTCGGGTTCGGTAATGCAAATGGTATGTGGTTTGAACTACTTGAACAATCTAATACGTCTCTTTGTTTTGAAATTTGTGATGGCCTTAGACTAATTAATGGTTATTCTTACATTCACTGAACTTTCCTGATGTGTTATATAACTTGTATGTGCATTACATATTCATTTTTTATAAATATTTTCCATTGCTGCATCTCTTTCCATAAACATGCAACCTTAAAGTTAATCGGCTGAGGTTAGCCTCTCTTTACATACTGGATGTCAACATTAATAACCATTTTATTAACAAACTACGTTATGATGTTATTTCCTCAGCCTTCCGAAGCCTGGGATGGCGGTGTCGGCTTTGTGTCAAAGGAAATGATTCAGACTCACTGCCCAGCACCCGCTCCCGATATCAAGGTACATTACTTCTTTACAGTATTTATCTAATTTTTTTGACAAATAACAAAATATATGAACTTAAATTTGATATTATGCCATGCAGATTCTAAGGTGTGGCCCTCCACCAATGAATAAGGCCATGGCCGGCCACCTTGACGCCCTCGGATATTCACCTGAGATGCAGTTCCAGTTCTAATACCTCTAGATGAGGCCAAGCTTGACTCGGACTGTTATGGATCTTCATCGGAGAGGGCGCAGCCCCATTGTAATCAGAACTTTTTTAAGCATTGGAACCAACTGGCTTATTATGATTCAGATGTTTTGAACTGTTATTATAAAAGGTTTTCCTTGATCCGTGTGCTAAATTGAAGCAAGTAGACTTTTTCTCTTCTTTAACTCAGTAATCCTCATTTTGCAACTTCACAAGTAGAACTTGTTATCCAAGAAGCTTGAGTTTTGCAAAACCTTTATTTATCTACTTTCTGAAGTTTCATTTTCTTAGGGTGTTTTCAGTTTTATATTTTTAAATTTTAAATTGTAATTCTAATAGCAAAAGTCGAATCTTTTTAATTCATTTATCAAGGAAAACTAGTTTCCATGACTACACAAAATTATAACATTTTACATTTTCGACAGTTAAAAGAAGTGTTGTCTTCCTATGACTACAAAGTCTTAGGTTAGAGTAACTGTGTCTTTAGGGAGTGTTATTAATAATAAGAAAGATTGTGAATATATATTATCTTGTAATCACCTTATACTATTTGAAAAAAATTATTGATATTTAAAAAGAAATGTAAAGATTCATTAAAACAGTTTTTGAAGTTGTAAAAGAAGACGATAGAAATTTAGTTGGTAAAATATAGGGTAAAGTATACAAAAGGCCCGATTTTAGGATGTTTTATTGAGTCCTTTGACTATTAAAAGTTACAACATGATGCCTCGACTATATGATGTTGCTTTGTTGAGTCCCTCTACTATTAAAAGTTACAAAATATTCATTGGACTATTCATTATGTTTCAAACTCATCTTTTTTTTGTTAAAAAATTGATGGCATACTAAGCTGGAAGTTAACCTGCTGACTAAGATATGATAAAATACGATCTCATAATCTCAAACGACTATCATATCTCAGTTAACAGGTTAACATCCAGCTCAGAACACCGTCAAATTTTTAACGGGAAAGGACCAGTTTGAAACATAATGAATAGTCAGATGACAATTTTGTAACTTTTAATAGTCGAGAGACTCAACAAAGCAACATCTTATAGTCGGAAGACCATTTTGTAACTTTTAATAGTTGAGGGACTTAATAAAGCAATACCCTATAACCGGGGGACAATTTATGTACTTTATCCTAAAATATAATAATATATATTTTATAACATGTGTATATATTTATAAAATTATGGGTAAATTACATCAATATATAGTGGTTGAAATTTAGGGGCGTCTTATTGTTGCCATTAAACTATAATTTTTAATGGGATAATTGCATGAATGCCTTCCAAAGTTTGTCAAATTTATCAATGTGGTGCTAGAATTTCCAAAACGTTCAATGTCCCCCTTGAACTTTGCTTTTGTATTGCGAGACAAAAATCAAAATATTATAGTTTTCTCGACTTAAAGAAAATTTACTCCCAAGTTTATATATATTTGAACTAAACGCATGCCTTCAACTTGATACCTAAAACATTTTCGCGCTCAATTTGATGCTTTTAATAACAATGTTATAACTCTTAAAAAAACATGCATGAGGAATCATTAAGGGCACGTGGTGTAATTTTATGTTCTCAAGTCATTAAAAGTTAACATTGTCAATAAAAGTAACAAAATAATTTTAAAATTCATGTACCAACTTGAGAGGAAAATATTTTATATATCAACTTAGTAATAAAAATTTCATATGCACCGTCAACAGGGTTTGTTCAAGTAGTAAGCAGCTTGATATCACTTAAGCAAAGTCTCGAAGTCATTGTGTAAGAAAAAAATTCCTACTGGGAGACTCACCCACCAAATTGAGATGTGCGACGTGGGTCAATTCAAAATTATTCAAGGCAAAGTCTTGGAACTGACTTATTTGAATATAATTTCAAAACATAAAAATATGAAGACTTGATCCAATAGAATTTGAGTTCCAAGTTATTATACTAAATTTAGAGATATTTTTCATATATTTTTTTCTTGCTTATGTTGCCCCACGAGAAAATTTAGTCTTTGCATTCACTCATTTTTCTCTTTAATGGCCCATATACTTGGCCTAATTTGAAGGCTATAAAGCAATCTCACTTAATGCAGTTTGACTTATTTGGATATGAGGTTTAACAATTTCATTTTCCCATCATTATAGCTTAGATGTTGATTGTTTTGACTAAAGGTGTGAATGAATCGGGCTTGAATGAATAAGGTTATGTTCGTGTTCATTTGTTTATTTTTAAGGCGTTCGTTTACATTTTTAATATTGTGCTCATGCTAGTTTAAATTTTTTAAGGTGTTAGATATATTTTTCATATATTTTTTCTTGCTTATGTTGCACCACGAGAAAATTTAGTTTTGCATTCACTCATTTTTCTCGCCCATATACTTGGCCTAATTTGAAGGCTATAAAGCAATCTCACTTAATGCAGTTGGACTTATTTGGATGAGGTTTAATAATTTCATTTTCCCATCATTATAGCTTAGATGTTGATTGTTTTGACTAAAGGTGTAAATGAACCGAGCTTGAACGAATAAGGTTATGTTTGTGTTCGTTTATTTATTTTTTAAGGTGTTCGTTTAAATTTTTAATATCGTGTTCATGTTCGTTTATTTATTATTCTTGAACATGTTCGTGAATATATTCATTTATATGTTCACGAATGTGTTCATTTATATGTTCACAAACGTGTTCATTTATATGTCCACGAACGTGTTCATGAACACGTTCGTTTATTGTTTGTTTATATATTCAATTTTTAGTTTTACCCTTTCATTTGCAAGCAAAAGATAAATGATAAAATTACACCACTAGTGCTTAAACTCCTTAAAATTAACAATTTAAATTTTAACTTTTATCATGTGTTCAATTTAGTCTCTACTTTCACCAATATTTAAAATGTTAAAAAATAAAAGGAAAAGGAGAACCGGGTAAACGAGCTTGTTTATGAACATAAATGAACGAGTGGATAAACGAGCTCATAAACGAGTTTGTTCGTGAATATAAATGAACCAAACACACCTTTGTTCGAGTTCGTTCGTTTATTAAATAAACATAAAAAATTATGTTTATACTCATTTATTTAACTTAACGAACAAACATAAACGAACGATTCTCGAATAGTTCACCGAACTTTCTATTCATTTACATCCCTATCTATTTATTTACACCCCTAGTTTTGACTACACAATGAGAGGTGAACACTAAATCACGAATTTGAGGATAGGGGAATTTATATTTGCATTGATTTTGCATTTGGGGACAAATTATTAGAGTGATTCTACACTAATCTACTTTCTTGATACAAAAAATCAATGTTTTCATTATATTATCTTTTTCTTAATGATTATTACATCTATCTAACTTTCGAGTCCTCCATCAAATATGTATAAGTCGATCTTTGGATAAAAAATTATAAATTCAATCGATTGGATCGGAATTATAATCCAATCGGTTGAATTTATAATTTAACATTAAATAAAATATAATTTTAATCATATAAATATTAATAGAAAATAATTTGATATTTAAATATTTCAAATAGTAAAATGAGTAACAAGGATAGTACACGTCGGTGATGGATAAATGGAAAAGAAAATTAAACAGTAGTCTTGTATCGTGGATCCATTTACTTTTTTCAAAAGAAAAAAAAAGGAATGGACAAATAGATTTACTAAATATTAAATAAGGGGTCTATCCACACTATTTATAGAGAGAAAACATATATATTTTAGTAAGAATAATGTATTAACTAAATATTTTGTAAAAAATTACTAGGAATTGTCTGTGTATAATATAAGCATCTTATAGAACCTATACATATTTTATTTTTAAGAAGTTCAATACGTTTGAGTAAACACATTTGGTTGGTTAGTCAAATTGGTCATCTTTGTTCTTTTAAAATAACTTTAGGGTTAATTGTGTTTGATTCAACGTATCAAATTAAAATTTGTCTTGTTTTGTATATAGAAATGTGTTTATATTAAATCCATCAAGTGATTTCAGATTAAAGAGAGTGTTGTTCTTTCTAGAAGTCTTGGTTTTGAACAACTACGTCTACAAGGTGTGTGTGAATTGTTAATGATTAAGAAAGATTTTGAATAGATATTACATTGTAATCTATATATGCAACTAAAACAATGTTTGATGATATATCGAATATAAAAATTGTCTGTAATCACTAATCCGTAAACTTAAATTTATAATATAATGTCTTAGATGAATTTATTCATCCTTAATAGAAAACCATTCCTATGTGCATAGTCAAGTATTGGTAATTGTGTAATTCGTTATTTTGATTTTAAAATTTTTTATTATCATTTAGTAATTTTAATTATCTCACAGAGTTTTCTTAAGTTCACCTTATTATTTAACGTTTTCTTACATATTTAACTAAAGGCTTAATGCTCAAATAAGAGCCCAAAGTTTACCGTTTGTGCCAAATAAGTTCTTACATTTTTTTGGATCATCCGAGTGCCTAACGCTACCAACGTTAGCATTTTAGGTACCCGGGACATAATAATTGTTAAATAAAAATCGTTGTCCATTCATTTGCTTACACGTGTCCCTGATGATTTTTTTTCATTTTCTGTAAATTTTGAATATATTAAAATAAAAATAAATAAAACATTAATAATAATATTTAATCAGACTAATTTAACCTAAAAGTAAAAGTCAAAATTTTACCACGATCCATCTTCCACCGTTCTCTTTCTCACCCACTCTGTTGAGACTCTCCTCCACCAATCTCTTTTGAAATTCTTCTCCTCCCATTTCACTCTCATCCTCATTTGTTTTTCCCGAATTGCTTCTCCTATCCGTTCACTCTCATCCTCATCTTTTTATCCCAAAACTAGGGTTTTGGAATTGTGTGGATTGTTTATCTTCAAAATAGTGAAAGATGTCGAGTGAATCTTCAAAATTGAGTCATAGTATAAGGGTCGAGTATTGTTATTGCGGAATGAGGGCTCCTATTTGTAGTTCAAATGTGCCTCGGAGCAAATGAAGAAGATTTTATGGTTGTTCGCCATTGAAAGAGGTATTTTTTTGAACTCATAAATGAGCGCGTAAGAGTATAGAACAACATCTAACAATTAGTTATTGGATCTGCTGGAAATTCAATATATTTAGTTTGTATTTAGCTAGATTTTTATCTTTAATTAAAATAATTGTTGGTTGTTTCTAAAATGAGTTGTT